TTCATTTTTCCTAAATGGCTCTTTGAATACCAAAAAAGGAGTGAAGAAGAATTGAATGGAAACGATTGGTTTTGAGCCCCTCTGGGCTCCAAATCACTTGCAACTTTGACCAGTTGCTGAGTAGAGGGTCCTTATAAAGGCACTATAGGAATCGAGGAGGAAAATAGTCGCAAATGGGGTCTTACTTGCGGCACGTGATTGAGAGTGAACGGCTCTGAGCGGCTTGTCGGAATGGTTTCTTCAACGATCGGAGCGGTGTTCAGCTACAACGATCGGATGGCCTAGTGGATAGCGTGGAGGATTATCAATCGGACAGTGAGGGTGGGTGTTGATGGTTCGACTCCCCCAGGCAGGCGTGCGAGTTTTTGCATTTTTTTTAGTTTCGCTATCCTCGCTTCCATAAATGTCTGTGTAACATTTATATTTGCCATTCATGGGCAAATTCTTAACGGTAGTACCCCGTGAGTCGGTGTTATACTTCTATTACAATTTTCTCTTACAATTAAGCTAAGGCTGCTACTGAAAATTGGTTTTTATGTGTAAGTAAGTGATATGATCATTAACATGTACTTAATTTTAGCTGTGGTGCCATTTGTCTCCGATTTGGATCCACATCATTCTCCCACTGAATTCATTATGAGACGTTTAGCGCTGCCGTCAAACTGCGGCGCCAGAAATAAGTGTAAGAATCGTGATCAGGACCATCGATAACCCCTATAGACGAAGAATCGCTCAAAAAATTTTTTTCGACCTTATTGGGTGTGTGTATTGGATTGTACACGAGTCTTTCTATTAATCGTGCTTTGCCTGTTATTCAAACCTTCCCATTCATTGATGAGTAAACATAAAACTAACAACAAGGATAACACCGTTGGAAAAAGAAAAATTCAGTCATCCCTCCAGGTGCATTTGAAAGTGGAGAAAGTTGAATGAATCTGTTCTATCGCTGGAGGAGAATGACACCTTCGTCGGTGAGTAGCCGCTAGGGGTCGACAAAGGTCCACGATGGTTGTTCACGTATTCCACATGCATCCAAGCTTATAGCTGCATGGAAGGACCTTCGGTGCAGCAAATTCGCGATACGGCTGCCGGCGGCGCGCTACGTCATCGTTACGTCATCGCCGCTAGCAAGGTGTGAGACTCCGGTCATAATCGTCGACCAAATGGTCCGCCTTAACCAAAGAAGGTCGAAAAAATTTTTTGAGCGATTCTTCGTCTATAGGGGTTATCGATGGTCCTGATCACGATTCTGACACTTATTTCTGGCGCTGACGCAATTTGACGGCAGAGTAGCGCTAAACGTCCCTTTTATGGGTGTACATAATGAATTGTGGGAGAATGATGTGGATCCAAATCGGAGACAAATGGCACCACAGCTAAAATTAAGTACGATGTTAATGATCATATCACTTACTTACACATAAAAACCAATTTTCAGTAGCAGCCTAGCTTAATTGTAAGAGAAAATTGTAATAGAGTATAACACCGACTCACGGGGTACTACCGTTGAAGAATTTGCCCATGAATGGCAAATATAAATGTTACACAGACATTTATGGAAGCGAGGATAGCGAAACTAAAAAAAATGCAAAAACTCGCACGCCTAGGGGAGTCGAACCATCAACACCCACCCTCACTGTCCGATTGATAATCCTCCACGCTATCCACTAGGCCATCCGATCGTTGTAGCTGAACACGCTCCGATTGTTGAAGAAACCATTCCGACAAGCCGCTCAGGACACAGGACCAGCTAGTGTAGATAGAGGTCACAGTTATACGTTGACTTACAAGCTCTCAGATTGGATTCATGGAGAAGAAAAGTGAGGGACTTTACAAATATTCAGGATGAAGAACTTCGAGCTGGATACCACGACTGTGTACATTCCGAATGGATGGCACTTCAACCGAGTTGGATTTTTGCAGATCAAAATTTCGTTTATCAGCGTATCCATTCTCATTAAGCATTACTGCTTTGTTGCACGTTTAATAA